ATAAACCTTTTAAGTCTTTACTTTGTATTAAAAATACTCTTCCAGAGGAATTTCAAATTAGCAGAGAAAAGGTATATTAATGAAAAATGTTGAGAAAGCTGGTAAGTCATTTGGAAAACAAAATTAAAAGGCTGAATTCATATTTCATCTTACTAAATTAAATTTCAGATTAATCAAAGGTTTAAATTATAAAATAAACACAAAAAACATTATGAGGATTGCAATTAAGGTCACGAAACAGAATGTGTATGAACTGCTACATGGAAAATGAATTTACTCTATAAACTTTAACCCAAATTACATACACACACAACCCATAAAAGTACTATAAGAACTTTAGAGAGATTATATTTGATAGATTAGGCAGGCATTTCTGAGTAAAAGCCAGAAAATTCATAAAAGACAAATATTAAAGCCTCTATATTGTCTCTATAAGCCAGAAAAGTAGACAACTTAGCCATGAACAAAGGGTGGGAGCCAACTGACAAAACTGCACAAAGTTTGTTATATATATATATGACAAAGAGTTAGTATCCATCATTGGTAAAAAGTTCTTACTGTGTAAAATAAAAACTATGCTTAGCTAGTCATTCAAAGAATCTAGTACGATAGACCCCAATATGTTAACAGTGAAGAGTCAAGACTTTTTTATGATTTTTTTTATAATATGTGAATTGCCACAGTAAGTACTTTCAGCATTAAAAAAATTAAAATTAACATCATACAGATGTAAATAAATAAATAAAATGGATCCTGCAAAGTTCATTCATCTTCAGGACTGGTGCCACTAAATAAAATAATCTATTCAGACTATCAAGCACTTGAAATGTGCTCAGTACTAACTGCGTGTGCTATAAACACACACCAGATTTTGAATACTTAGTATGAAAACTATAAAATATCAAATAAATAATTTTATACATATCACATGTTGAAATGACATTTTCTATATATTAGATTAAATAAAATATACTATTAAAATTAATTTCACCTGCTTCCATTTAGTATTTTTAATTTAATTACATGTTGTTGTTATAGTTCACATTATATTTTTATTAGACAATGTTGTTCTGGATAAAGGAAAGGGGATGTAAAATAAAAACTAATGCCAGAGTAACATATTTACTAATATAAACATTTCTATTTAAAAACTGGTTTTCTCAAACATTGCTTTCAGAATCTTTTTAACAAATACATTATTTCAAAAGGAAATGATACCAGTTTAAAGGAAAGAAATTAATGGCATACCGTGTTCAAAAGACTCAAAATGCCTTGTGTTTTATTTTAGAGGTCATCTCTTCATTGGATTGCACAACCTGAGGGAGGGAGGATAAAGGACTTTGCTTTGCTTGGAAGTTAAACAAGAGCACTAAATGTTCTAAAATTCTAAGTACCTAAGAAATTTTTTATATTGGTTCTTTAAAACTAAGAATTTTTAAGTTAGGGCCTCGAGTTGCTTTTAACTTGAGAGTTTATTATTTTTCTTTGGCATTTTTAATAGTTATAATGCTGCTGGTTATATCTGACCAGGTTTGTATTTAAATAGGCATAAGTTCAAGCAATGATTAGATTCTGTCTTTAACAAATGTGTTCTCAAATGGCTGAGACAGGAGGCATTAAAAGGCAAATATAAACTTATTTATAAAAAATACTACTTTCATTACATTTCTCCATTCTGCAGCTTGTTATCAGGCAAATTACTTACTATAATTATATTCAATACATTAAATAAATAAAACTACAATAGGGAAAAATTATTGAGATACTTCTACCTAGAGGTAATAATATGAATCAAGAATATGTAACAATTACCTTTAATCTGTTAATGTTGCATGTGAGAAAATGTATAAATAGTGCACAAAGTGTCAGTATTCTAGTACAGTAAGAAAGTGGAAAGAAATTCCTTCACACAAACTCTCTTTGGTATTAGTGTCCTAGTTACTTTCATGCACTAGAAGGAGCATGAAAAATTCAAATTCCCTTCTCTAAAAAGGTGCCTCCTGTAACAAAAGGTGGTCTCTATACATGTAAGTTTTACACTTGGAAAACTTAAGTCTATTTTGCTTTCATCATTCCATAAATGTTATATTGCCACAATGTGCAAGGCACTGTGCCACAGCACTGTAAGAGATCCAAAGAAAAGACAGATATAGATCTTATCAGTAAACAGTGTGTCATGTAAGAGAGAAGAGAAGCTGGCCCATCTCAATTCCCCTCAACTAACAGGCAGATGAAGTATCAGGGTCAATCATTTTAAACCAGAAAAGTAGACAGCTTAGGTAACAGAAGTTTCAAAATATGCCCTTCATGACTAATGATCACAATTGTAATTTTTCCCTTTAAAGAAGAGGGAGAAAACGCAAATGTCTTCTCTAGTTCAACATGCACTTTTATAATCCTATAACATGGCCAGTGGGAAGGACTGGACGAAAATAAGTAAGAAAAATATTTGTTATTCTTTTTAATGAGTAGAAGTATCGTTGTATTTTTATTTACTTGTGTTTTTTATTTCTGCTATGAGTAAAAATATTTATATGGTTCTGTATTAGATAAAGGTGAGTCCTTGTGGCACAGTGGTTAAAGTATTTGGCTGCTAACTGAAAGATTCCACGGTTTGAATCCACAAGCCGCTCCATGTGAGAAATATGTGGCAGTCTGCTTCCGTAAAGATTTACAGCCTTGGAAACCCTATGCAGCAGTTCTACTCTGTCATATGTAGGGTTGCTATGAGTTGGAATCGATTCGACAGCAATGGGTAACAGTATTGGAATAAGAAAAAGGATACAGAGGCTAATGAAAAGACACAATTACCAAGAGGCCAAAACATTAATACTGAACTCAGAAAATCTATATTTTAACAAAATTTCCCAATTTACATGATCTTAACATTAGATAATTTTCACCAATAAAATATTACAGTACAGGCATATGTGCATTCATTGTTTCTAATTACAAAAAATAGCCAATATATGAGGCTTGAATACTGCTTATTACATGCTAGGTAACGTTGATGAGAAAACAGAGGTACAGAGAAGCTAAGTAATTTGACCAAGGGTCACAGAGCTGAAGAACAGCAGAGCCAGGATTTCAATTCAGGCAGTCTCCTTGAGGATCATACTCTAACCACTATCTGTACTCCTGTTATTATACCCAAAGCCCTTAATCTTAAATCATCAAAAGATACGGTCTCTGTTTTATACCAAGAGGAGGTAATTTTAAGATTTGAAAATTGGAAATAGTTTCATTTCATAAAATTTTGCTTGAAAAATGACCATTTAAATGGAAATTCACTTTGTCAATACTTTCCCCTTCTTTAAAATATGGTTTGATTAATACATATACATGGAGTTTAAAAGTTAGTTTCATGTGATATACTGTAATAATATGTTGAGAACTTCCTAATTGCCAGACTTCATTCTAAGTGCTTTGAACATATTATTTCTTTTAATTCACATAATTCTATGAAGTAGGTCCTATTACTACTCTAGCTTTACTGATAGGGAAATTGAGATACAGGGAGGTTAAGTAACTTGTTCAAGACTGGACAGCTAACTCCAGAGCCCACACTGTTAATAATTTCACTACATTAATCTGTCAAGATAAGGCATTTTTAAAGAATTTGTTATTTTTTCAAAAACATCTTAATATTGAGTATTCAATGAGGATAATCATTTGTGACTTAACTGAATGAAGCATTTAATATTTTTCCCTTTAGCACTAGATTAGAAGCACAGTGGTACACTTAGGCATACTATTAATTTTTTTTTGTTAAATTTATTTATTAAAATTGTTAACAAGCTCACAAATAAAAAAATATTTATCACTATAATTGTTAGTATGTTTGTTTGCCTTTGATTATTGTCTTGTTGTTGTTGCTTTTGTTGTTGTTATGTGCTGTCAAGTGGGACCCAACTCATAGTGACCCCTCCTTGGGTTTTTGAGGTGATACCACTATAGGAGTAGATTGCCCAACCTTCCTTCCGAGTAGATTATTGTTTTATCCACTGTATATATTATCACATAATCCTAGGCTAATTAAAAAAAAAAAAAAACTGCTGTGGAATTGGATCCTACTCATAGTGACCCCTCCTTAGGTTTCTAAGGCGGTATCACTACGGAAGTAAATTGCCCAACCTTCCTTCCAAGGAGTGGCTGGTGGGTTTGAACCACCAGCCTTCTGGTTAACAGTCAAGTGCCTTAGGTACTATGCCACAAGAGCTCCTCCCTACCTAATAAATAGTATTAAACACATTTTACCCCTTTTTTCCCCCCATTTTTTTTTTAGCCATCTATATGAATGTTCTAGCCCTTTTCCATATACTCACTCAAGAACCAATACTTTTGTGGTCTTCTAAGGTCAAACTAAAAGAATTAAATCTTAAATACTATCAATATCAGAAACTATTTGCCCATCATTTTTTTAAGTTTGTGAGCTTGTTAACAATTTTAATAAATAAATTTAACAAAAACAAAAAAGTTAATAGTATGCCTAAATGTTCTACTGTGGTTAAGAACATAAAATTAGATATTAGCTTATACAGAGTGGTATGGGAGCACAGCACTGAGAATTATCATCACCATCCAAGAGAGCTGAGAAAGGCTTCACAGAAAAGCTGTTTTATTGTGATGGATCACTGTTTCAAAAAGAACTAGATATGTGGGAAATGCATACTTAATGAATTAATTTTTCCTCAATTTTAATGATCAATTTACCAGTCAAAAGAGTTTGTTTTTCTTACTTCATAAATATCTTTAAAAGTTGTGAAAAGTAAAATGAGCTTTTAAAAGCCGGTAGACACTCAAACACTGAAACTACAATATGCAACAAAGTTAAATACAATAACATAATTCCAAATCACCTATTAGTTACTCATTGCTTTTATTTCATTTAGCATTGATCTACCTCAATGTGGCAAAAGGTTACATTCCTACAAGTTTACACGGCTTAATGATTAACTATATTCGCCTGCCCACCTTGCCTTTCATGTGGTAAATAGGGTATACAAAGAGTTTAGCAATCTAGGTCTCCTTAGAGGAGAAACCTAGCTCCAAATTGATTAAAAATTGAATAATTAGGACTCAAAATGTACACAATTAAGTTCCTTATTTTTATTGTCCCTCTAGTTACTTGCTCCAGAATTGACCGAGACTATTCCTCATTTGATTCTCTATCTCCAGAGCCAAAGTCAAGATTTGCTATGTTAGATGATGTAAAAATTTTAGCAAATGGTCTCCTTCAGTTGGGGCATGGTCTTAAAGACTTTGTTCATAAGACTAAGGGCCAAATTAATGACATATTTCAAAAACTTAATATATTTGATAAGTCTTTTTATGATCTATCACTGCAAACTAATGAGATAAAAGAAGAAGAAAAGGAACTTAGAAGAACTACATCCAAACTACAAGCCAAAAATGAAGAAGTGAAGAATATGTCAATTGAACTCAACTCAAAACTTGAAAGTCTCTTAGAAGAAAAAATTCTTCTTCAACAAAAAGTGAGATATTTGGAAGAGCAATTAACTAATTTAATTCAAAATCAACCTGCAACTCAGGAACATCCAGAAATAACTTCACTTAAAGTAAGTAAAAATCAAAGAGGGTTCATGATTATATTTTCAATGTGAATCTTTTCTAAAAAAAGAATTCTAAGACATGCTATTTGATAATTTGTTGGATATATGCTCTCAAGGAAAAAGTCTGGAGAAAATAAAATTTGCCACTGTGATTTCAAGTTGGTTTTTATGTTTTCCAAAAATTATAAATGAAAACAACTAAACTTTACATTTCATATGAAAATTACAAATCAGTTAAGTAACAAAATTTAGAACACCAAATTACTATAGCATTGCAAATTAATGGAGGTGAGTAAAAAAGTTAAAGAAACTTAAATTTAAAATCATTCTTCCATGTTTAAAATAGTTCAAATACAGTAAATGGTAAAAAAAAAATTACATTAAAATACTGTATTTTTTTTCAAATAACTGAAGCATTCTGAAATGCAAAAAAAATCAAGTTTTAGAGATGGTACATTTTAAATAAAACATAAGAACAAAAAGTATGTACTACTATATGAAAGAAGTATGCAAGGAAAAATGATTGCCAGTATTCATTTTTCTATTCTACCATTAGTTTAAAAAATTAGATTGTGATAGTGTGTAATTAAGAAAAATCTACTCTAACAAAAGAAGAGAAAGGAAAAGGAGGAGGAAGGGAGAAAGGGAGGGAGAGAAGGAGGAAGAAAGGAAAAAAAGGAGAAAGAGGAAAGAAAGGAGGTAGGGAGAAAGGGAGGGAAGGAGGGGAAATAGGAGAGAGGAAGAGAAGAAAGAGATGAAGGGAAAGAGGTGAGAGAGGAATGAAGAGATACAGACAGGGAGGTGGAGAGGTGGAGAGAGAGAAAGGAGCATTTAACCAGCCTACAATCTATGTCCAGACTTTTGTAGAACAACAAGATAACAGCATCAAAGACCTTCTGCAGACTGTGGAAGAACAATATAGACAATTAAACCAACAACATAGCCAAATAAAAGAAATAGAAAATCAGGTAAGTCGGTATTTTAATAGTATATCCAGTCATTTGTATAAAATCTAGGTATATAAAAGCATTGGATTCTAAAAGTATTTAAAAGCTTTAACTTGGTAGTGAATGAAATGATATTATCAACATAATTATTATCAATTGTAGGCTCTGAAGCTAAAAAAAAACTACTGGTATCTGGGTTTGAATCCTGGCTCTAAAATTTATTGTGTGACCTTGAATAAATTACTTAACCTCTGAATCTGTCAGTTTCCTTATGTATCCCAAGAAGACAAGAACAGAATCTGTATTATAGGATTACTGTGAGAAAAGAAACAAATTTATTCAAGTATATCCTCAATGCAGCAGCCAGAGTGATCCTACTAAAATTTAAATTAGATCATTTCTCTTTACTGAAAACCCCCAATTGGTTCCCCACCTCACTATATTTTTGCTGTCACCTCAAGACACAGAACATTATTGAATATATAGTAGGCACTCAATAAATACTGAATTAATAAAGGTAGTTTCATATTCAGCACACAGCAGTCAATAAATGCTTACTATTATAGAAAATTGCACAACTCAATAATTAAAGTTCAACATTCAACAATGTTATTATTCTATAAGGTAAACAACTGGCTATGCCAGGGAAAGACTAACTGTTTAGCATAAAGCTATATTAGAATATAAGCATTCCGATACATAGTATAATATTTCAAAAATATTAGTGGTATTCTTAAGCTATTCAAGAGACTCAGAGAAGTTGTAAAAAATTTGCTCCCAAGAACCATAAGGTAAATATTATTAACAATATCTACTAACTAACCATAATGTCATTCTGTTTCAGTAATTTTATGACTCATACTTTTAGTTGGTAATGTCAATTGTCCAAAAAGAATTTTTAACAACCACTTTTGATTTCCATGATTTCCTTCTTCTTATATATGTTGTCTTTCTAAGCTCTTTTTTTTTTTTTTTTAGTTGTGTTTGGGTGAAACTTTACAGATCAAATTGGTTTTCCATTCAACAGTCCATACACATTTTGTTTTGTGACATTCACTGCAATCCCCACAGTGTAACAGCATTCTTCTACTACTTCTCACGCCCATTCCTTGCCTTAGTCTTTCCTTCCCAACCCCTTCCACCTACCTAGTTCTATCCCTGGGCAAATAATACCTTCTTGATCTCATATGGTTGATTGTTCTAGTGAGTGCACACCCTGCTGGTATTACTGTTTAAACTTTTTAAAAATACCTTCTATTATAATTAAAGGAACCTGATCAAAAAAACAGAATGTCATTATTTTACAGTGATTGAGATATGTATATACATACATACATACATACATATGTATATATATATTCTGTATAATAATAAAATGAGTGAAGAAATAAACACAACAGATTTTTGAATCAGAAGGCTTATCTCATGTGATCCAACTTCCTCGTATTTAAATCAAGAAACCAAAATTCTGAAAAATTAAGTGATTTCAACAGCACACAATTATTTAGTAGAAAAGACTAGTACTCAGAAAGTGAACTTAACAACATATTCTATGAATTAGGAACTGAAAAAGGTCATCTATGCCATGTATTTGATGGCAGGTCTGAAAATAAGACCTAAAACAGAGAATTACTAAAACTAAAATCTGTCTGTATTACTAAATATAATAATAAATACATTATATTCATATAACTTATTTGATCTCCTGTTAAATATATTCTATTCATATAAATAAATTGAATTTTAAAATATTCTGAGCAAAGCAAAGTCTCTGTTTCTCACCTTGCTCTGCTTTTTATCCAAACTGTTTTCTGCCTTGCTCTCTTTGTTTCTTCCACTCATTAAATAATATGCCTGATTTTGGAAATAGGTATTTGTACAATCTTCTTTGATATTTGTTCAATAACAACAAATAGGTAATTTGTTACAATCTGTAACAGTTTGTTGCTCTTAACTTCAAAAATAATATATATTGTAAACTAAAAGATAAGATGCATATAAATAGTACTTTTAACATCCTTACTCAGATTTCCCCTAATTGTATATTCACTATCATTTTTAAAAGTATATTTATGTTTTTTTATCAGCTTAAAAAGACTGGTATTCAAGAGCCCACAGAAAATTCTGTGTCTTCCAAGACTAGAGCACCAAGAACTACTCCTTCTCTTCAGCTGAATGAAACAAAAAATACAGAACATGATGGTAAGATTGTTTGGTGGCTTTTCTTCTTGAAGCTACTAAGTATCATTATATTTCCCTGTCTGATATTTCCACAAAAAACCTCTATTTTCAGGGTCTGTTCTACACTAAAAGAAAATATAAAGGCACAACCACCAAAAATGCAATGTGTCAACCTAGGTTGGATCCTGAGTTAAAAACAAACAAACTTAAAATACATTCTAAAGACAATCAAGAAAATACAAATGTGGACTTGATATTAGATAATATGCAATCATTATCAGTTTTCTTAGCCTTGATAATGGTATCATAGTTACATAGAAGAATAGCTTCATGTTTCAAAGATGCATGCTAAAATATTTAAGAGGTAAAGTGGAATAAAGTTTGCAAATTACTTTCAAATTGCACAGCAAAATATGTATTTGGTATGTGTATGTGCTTATAAAGCAAATACAAAAAAATATTAATGTTGAAGAAATTAAAAGAATATTGGATTCTCTTCAACATTTTTTTTTCCATTTTCCCATTTGCTGGAAAATGTTCATAAGAGAAACATTGAAGGGAAGAAATCTCCATTCCCAACCAAATCTCAACAAAGTGATATACTTTCAAATACATTCATTTCTTAGGCAATTCATACAGGGAAAAAAAAAAAACCTCTCTGTTTTCTCCATGCATATTCACTCTTTCCACATGTATCTGCTGACTACCAGCTATGTGCCAAACATTACACTAATGTCTTATATATAGTATTTTCCATTTTAGAGTCTTCCTATGTCTAGCAAAAAAAAAAAAAAAAAAAGTTTACAATTCTCATGTCACTTTTTGTAAAAAGAAAAAAATAATAATCAGTCTGGTTATCAATAAATATTTCAGTTCTTCATATGATATGCCATCCAATAAAAATAGTTTAGGATAAATACTGAAAAAGGCTACATTCTGCCACAATTCCATAAAATGGCAAATAAAATCTCAACCACTAAAGATATTCTACTTATTATACCTTACAGATGACATTTTGTTGTTTCTAGGCATTCCTGTTGATTGCATCAACATTTATAACAGAGGTGAACATACAAGTGGCATTTATGCTATTAGACCCAGCAGCTCTCAAGTTTTTAATGTCTACTGTGATGTTAAATCAGGTAAAATCAGCCTAAGGAGAAATGGACAGTACTTAGTTCAAGTTACTCACTATCTATTAGCAAGCATAATCTTGCTATCTTTTATTTTTTTGTAATCTTGCTATCTTTGATATGAATGTACACAGAATGAAATATGTAACATGAGTATCAATGTACAAATAGTACTAAAATTTGTCTTATTATGCGTTTTATTCATGCATTTATTCACTCTCCCACCTCCTCCCATAAAATAATCTAAAAAGACTATTGTCAATATGTTTACTAAGAAAAAATCCATTAGTTGCTTTTTCCTTTTCTTTTGGAAACATAAATAAAAAAATGTTATTTCCATAACAACATTAATAAACTACCTTGCAATGTCATCAATTAAAAACATACCTAAAAAAAGAACTAGTATTTTTCACATTTGTCAACACCAATCTACTAAAACTATACAATTTCATTCATCTTATGCAGGTAGCTCATGGACATTAATTCAGCACCGAATAGATGGATCAGAGAACTTCAATGAAACTTGGGAGAACTACAAATATGGCTTTGGGAGGTTGGATGGTAAAGTGATTCCATTTCATTCATTCATTCATTCAATGAATTATTTAAAATATTTACTGGGAACCTATTATTACACACCAGCCACTCCTCAGAAGGAAAATGGGGCAATCTACTTCCATAGTGATACTGCCTCGGAAACCCAAGGAGAGGTCACTATGAGTTCGGTCCGACTTGATGGCACATAACAACAACAACATTATGGACTGGGTATTGAGAATACAGCAATGAATGAGAAATAGTCCCAGTTTTAGGAACACATACTAACAAATAATTACACATTTGTTAGTAATTGCATTTATTATAACTGTTATTATTTGAATTATATTCATCACAATTACATAACTGTTCTTAATTGTACTCATTACAACTTAATTCAGTGACTTATCATTATCAAAATTATACTTATTACAGATAATTTTTATTAAGTGTCATGTGCTTTTATAAATGTTAAGTGCTATGGATGAGCTACAAAGAAAACTATTTCTAGCATTCAAACCAAACCAAACTCACTACCATCAAGTTGATTCTGACTTACAGCGACTCTCACTGGGTTTCCAAAGCTGTAAATCTTTATGGAAGCAGAATGCTTCATCCTTCTTCTGCGGAGAGGCTGGTAGGTTCAAACCACCGACCTTTTGGTCAGCAGCCAAGTGCCTTAGCCACTACACCACCAGAATTCCTTATTCCTAGCCCTAGTCACTCTATTTTCTAATGAACATTTTAGATATCAATTATTTTGAGGCTGGAAGGGACCAAGAAGCAATCAGACATACAGTACAAAATTTTGAATTTCAATAATTTAAATATTATAAATGTATATTATACAATGTGTGGTTTAAAATGAAGTAGTTAACTCAACGCAAATTATTCGATTTTGACCACAAAATAAACAAGATAAAAAATAAAATAAGCAAAATAAAAATGAGTAACAGATGTTTAAAATCTTAAAAAAAAGAAAACCACTGCCATCTAGTCAATTCTGATTCACAGCGACTCCCGTTAGGCTTCCGACGTGGTAAATCTTTACAAAAGTAGATTGCCTAGTTTTGCTTCCACGGGTGGCTGCTGAGTTTGAACTACGAACCTTCTGGTTAGCTATCAGATGCTTTAGTTACTGTGCTACCAGTGCTCCTTAAAATCTAAAAACCATATTACAAATATCAATAATGATATACAAGTACTTACTTACTGAGTAGAAAACATCCATTATTATATCATTCAAACTACTAGATAATCCATACCGAAAAGATGTATTTGTGATTAATTTTGTAGCTCCAAATCTTCTAAGAGTAAGAGTAAACCAGAAGTAAAAAGTTGACAGCTAAGTTCAGAATACAAATTTACTTCAACTAAGAGAGTAAGCTGTTTATTATTTGCTCTTACCAGCAATTCTTAAAAAGAGGACTCTATTAACTCAATAGGAGCTCTGGTAGCATAGTGCCTAAGGCACTTGACTGCTCACCAGAAGGCTGGCAGTTCAAACCCACCAGCCACTCCTCGAAAGAAAGGTTGGGCAATCCTACTTCCATAGTGATACTGCCTCGGAAACCCAAGGAGGGGTCGCTATGAGTCAGGGCTGACTGGACGGCAAACAACAACAACAACAACAAATTAACTCAATAGCAATAAGGAAACACTGACCTCTGTTTTTCATTAAATATTTTATTTAAGAAGATGGTGATATTAAAAGAGGTCTATTTCTATTTGTTGTGGTTTTATATCTAAATAATAAAAATTACAGAGAAAAGTTATTAAAAACCATGTTTTTTTTAAAATTTTCTTTCTTTCTCTTTCTTCAAAGAAAACATATATATCAAGCAAATAACAAAGGCCAAGCCTATATTTCAGGAAAATGACATTACTCTTATCTAAGTTTCTGGGACTATTTTAACAAACTTCTTAGTGGTACACAGGTACTTGTAAACAGCTAATAATAAAGCTAGTGCATAGAAGAACTTAGAAGTGAAATATTATTCTCTCAATGGCCAAATCTAGAAGTATCTGTAGTAGTCTAATATATTTCACATGTGAAACATGTCTTGTCATCTCCATTTTAGAAAGGATAATCAGATTTCAGGCAGGTTTATTAATATTTTTAACATTTTTGTGCATTTATATATCATCAATAAAATTATTTTTTAAATATTTTATGAGACTCTTAAAAAAAAATCAAAATGATTCAAGACTAAAACCATATACTTGCACCAATAAAAAATGCTCTAAAAAGCTGTCACTGCACAATCTGTAGTTAACAACTCAACAGATTTTGAATTTTTCATTCTAGGTGAATTTTGGTTGGGCCTAGATAAAATATACTCTATAGTAAACCAATCCAATTACACTTTACGAATTGAGTTAGAAGACTGGAAAGACAAAAATTATTATGTTGAATATTCTTTTCACTTGGGAAATCATGAAACCAACTACAAGTTATACTTAGTTGAGATCACTGGCAACATCCCCAACGTGCTCCCAGAACACAAAGATTTGGTGTTTTCTACATGGGATCACAAAGCAAAAGGATATCACAACTGTCCAGAAACTTATTCAGGTATTATTTTTCTAATATTCTTATTTCTGTATCTTCAAAATATTTTTCCAAAGAATTGGCTATCATATTCAATGTCAAGTCTTTAAAATTTGAATCTCAAATAAACATTTTTATAGGTAAATAAATCTCTTAACTATTTATAAGTATAATTTTTATTTGATTCTAGTTCAACTGGGTATTTTACCTGTATTCTTACTCAGATATTCTATTTTTATAAACAGTACATTTTTACAGATTATTTAATATTGGCATGTAGCATTTACAACACTATTACGTATATATAAGAAATACAGATATATTCATGGAAAAAAAACTTAACAGTAACTACATATAAGTTTGTGTCTGTTAAACTGCACATCTGTCTTCTATAGGAGGTTGGTGGTGGCACGACATGTGTGAAGAAAACCATCTAAATGGTAAATATGTCAAACCAAGAGGAAAAACTAAAGTAGAGAGGAGAAGAGGAATATGTTGGAAGTCTTCAAATGGGAGGTTATACTCTGTCAAGTCAACCAAAATGATGATCTACCCAATGCATTTAGAAAGTTTTGAATAAACTAAGGCAAATAAAAAGCCATTAAATTAAACTCATCCCAAGTTACTGTGGTTTAATAATCTGATATTAAATGTATAATAGTATGTTTGAGAAACAGATTTTTTATTTCAAAGACACTATCAATTTATTTTAAGATAAAACATATCTTCACAAACCTTCAAGGAAAACAATTTACCTTTGTAAATCAAAATTCTTTATCATATGTTCAAATATTTTGTGATGTAGAAATGATGCAGGAATCCATTTTAGATAGTCACAATCTAAATTATAAACCAATAGTTAAATTAAAAATTTTTTTTTAATTAAAACAATAAACTTACAAAGAGACTTTTATTTTAAAAGTCATCATATGAAATAATTTTACAACTTTCCCAGTTTAAAAGACTAATTTTGGTTAAAATGTTAAACTTGAATGGATATAAAGAATTGATCATTTAAATTCTATAATTGTATTAACTTTAAACCTAAAATTCAGTCAGTTCAAAATTGATGCCTCATTTTGCTACAAAATAATTTGAAGAAAGTGGTAAATTTTATTTATGACACCAAATGAAGCAAGATAAAATACAATACTGCAGTAGGTTCACTACTTTTTTAACAAATGCAGATCATGATTATTAAGTCATATTGACTTTAATATCCGTTATCACTGTATCTTAACATATTTATTAACTTATCTATACTGTATGCATTTTATATATTAAGCACTTAATACTGTGAAAACAAATAAAAGGGATCTATACAATAAGAATTAATGTATCTGCAGTATCAAGTTAATGTTAAATAATTTATTCCCATGGTGCTAGTCTAATACTTTTAGATAGGCTTTCAAGTATTATAGAATTAATCATAACAAGTTACTAATGTTTAAACACTTGACAGACATGTATGTTTGATGTTTTAAAATTCAATAAAAACTTAATCCTTAATTACAGAAATTTAATTCTTTTAGTTTTTTTATTGATGACACAATAGTATGATTAAATTACCTGTAATTTCTTATTTACAATTTAATAATCTCCAAAGATTAGATACAAATTTTCTGATCAAAGTATCATTTGTGATTACTGATTTTCAAATCATTTTTTTAAAAAGCTACAAACAAGAAACAAAATACTGAATTAAACCCAGTTCTTAAAGGATATTGTGCATGGAGTTATATAGTGATTCACCTTGGTCAATAAATATTCAGCACCATGTATGTCAAGTTCTCCAATGAATATGCTATACATATATTTTCTATACCTATCACATAGAAAAGCTCTGGTAGTATAGTGCCTAAGGCACTTGACTGCTAACCAGAAAGCTAACGGTTCAAACCCACCAGCCACTCCTTGGAAGGAAGGTTAGACAACCTACATCTGTAACGATACTGCCTCGGAAACCCAAGGAGGGGTCACTATGAGTCGGATCTAACTTGATGGCACATAACACCACCACCACCACCACATATAAAAGCCCTTGCAGTGCAGTGCGTAAGTGATCAACTGCTAACCAAAAGATTGGTAGTTCAAACCCACCAGTCACTCCACAGGAGAAAGACAATGCAGTCAGCTTCTGTAAAAATTTACATCCTTTGAAACCCTGTGGGACAGTTCTACTCTGTCCCATAGGGTCTCTAAGAAGCAGATTTTGACTTAAAGGGAATTGAATTTTGGTTTTTATCACATATATAAAAGACTACACTAAACAATATTTTTGTCCAGAAAAGTACAAAAGAATAAAGGCAAGAATAAGCCATTACCCTAGCTGTCAAAATTTACACTGACTTTTGACAGCAAGGATGCCAAGGTGGTTTTTTTTTCCCCTTAAAAAACTGGTACCTTCAAATGCAAAATAATTCATTATTTAACATACTAATTGCATTCTCTGTTTTCCATTTTTTTCCAATTCACACGCAGCATGTTTTGTTCTGTTCCTTGTAGGAATACTAAGTTAATTTTTTCCCATAGGGAGAGAATTCTGGTAGAGAAAAAGAAAGGACTTGTTTTTTTTTTTTTTATGGTTCACAAATTAAATTTTTTTATGGTTCTTTCTGTCCTTACTACTAAAGGAGCTCTTGTGGTGTAGTGGTTGAAACATTCTCCTGCTAACCAAAAGATCAGTGGTTTGAACCCACCAGTTGGTCTGTGGGAGAAAGCTGAGGCAAGTCTCCTTCGATAAAGATTTCCAGCCTTGGAAATCCTATTGGGCAGTTCCACTCTGTCCTAAAGGGTCACTATGAGTCGGAATCAATTTGATAACAGTGGGCTTTTTTTGTTGTTGTTGTTCTTTTTTGTTCTTAATACTTTGCAAATGTTTCACAGTTGAAATTCATAGGCTTTCACTGGCCGATTCTTTGAGAAGTGGGTGGCCCCTTCCTTCTTCTAAGTCTGTCTTAGTCTGGAAGCTCCACTGGAACCTGTCCATCATGGGTATTTGTCCATCTGTTGGTATTTGAAATATCAGTGGCATAACCTCCAGCCTCACAGCAACATGCAAGCCACAAAAGTGCAACAAACTGACAGACGAGTGATGGACTATATAAAGAACACAGCATCAGGACTGGAAGAAGACTCATTAATAACCTGTGATATGCACAGACACAATCTTGCTTGCTGAGAGTGAAGATGACTTAAAGCACTTACTGATGAAGATTAAACACTATAGTCTGCAGTATGAATTATACCTCAACATAAAGAAAACAAAAATCCTCACAACTGGACCAATAAGTAGCATCACAATACATGGAGAAAAGATTGAAGTTGTCAAAGATTTTGTATTACTTGGTTCCACAATCAATGCCAGTGGAAACAGCAGTCAAGAAACCAGACAATGTACTGTTACTGGGCAAATGTGCTGCACAAGACCTCTTGAAAAGGGCAAAGATATCTCTTTGAAGATTAAGGTGTGCCTAGCCCAATATTTTCAATTGCCATACATGCATGTGAAAGCTGGAAAATGAATAAGGTAGATCAAAGAATAGTTAGTTGATGCTTTTGAGTTGTGGTGTTGGTGAAGAACACTGAAAGTACCATGGACTGCCAGAGGAGCTAACAAAAATGTTCTGGAAGAAGTACAGCTGGAATTCTCCTTGGAACTGAGAATGGCCAGACTTTGTCTCACCTAGTTTGGTCATGCTGTCAGAAGGAACTATTCACTGGAGAAGGATATCATGCTTGGTAAAGTAAAGTAGAAAGCCAGTGAAAAAGGGGAAGGCCCTCAACAAGATGGATTGACACAGTGGCTGCAACAATGGACTCAAATACAGCAAGGATTGTGAGGTTGGTGCAAGATGGGGCAGTGTTTCATTCTGTTGTACACAGGGTCGGTATGAGCTGGAGCTGATTCAACAGCACCTAACAACAACAACTTTTCCAAAACTGTTCTAATTTCACCACTCATACTTGTCAAATCCAATGGCTTTTTCTCAGCCCAAATTCCCTTTGATCTCACCACTACTTACTAATGACAATATCCTTTTTGTCATATTTGACCATTTTGCTTCCATTAACACTACTATACTACACTATCCTCAAATTGCTGTACCTCTTGTCTCTCCTCCTATTTCATATTGTGGGCCAGTGCACAATTTTTGATCATCTCCTCAACTCTGACCCTCAGAAATTTTATCTACTCTCATGTAATCACCTATTTTTATTTTATTTATTTTTATCTTTTTATTATAATTTGTGTGTATGTGTGTATATGAAAGAGATTTGGGTGAAAGTTTATAAAGCAAATTGGTTTTCCATTCAACAATCCATACACATCCTGTTTTGTGACATGTACTGCAATCCTCACATTGTAACAACATTCTTCCCACTTCCTGCATTCGGCCACTCCTTCCCTTCATTCTTCCTTCCATCTCCTCCCATCTTCCCACCTCCTTTCCAGGGCAAATGCTGTCCTCTTGATCTCATATGCTTGATTATTCGAATGACTGCATGCCCTCCTAACATTACTGTCCACATTATTATAAGTCTGTCTATCATTTGGCTGCCAGTTGAGTCGTGAGGGTTAAGTTCAGTTCCTAGCATGAAGGGTGTCTAAGGGCCGTAAGATCAGGAGTTCCACCAATCTCTGGTGGAAAAAGTAAGCTGGTCTTATTTATGATCTTTAGTTTTGTTCCATATTTCCCCCCACCCTATCTGGGACCTCTTATTGATTCCTCTCAGAGCAGTCAGCATGGTAGCCAGGCACCATCTAATCCTTCTGGTATCAAGGTCATGGAGGCTGAAGTTCACATGCTCCATTAGTTCATTAGTCCTTCTGAATGTTTCCTGCTTCTCTGTAATCAGCTACTTTCCAAGAATAAAGTTGCCAAATCTGTATATGCATCCCAGATCTCTCTCCAGTTTCCCTTTTTTCTACTTACCATGTTGTTGTTTTGCTTGCTGTCAAGTCGGCCCCGACTCATAGCGACCCCTCCTTGGGTTTCCGAGGCAGTATCACTACGGAAGTAGGATT